CACTTCTAATACGACAATATCTGAAAGATGAATATATTTTGACATTAAAAGAACAAAATTACCTTCCTGATTCAATTGATTCTGAATTTCGGGTAGGGGTTAATCCACTTCTAAATTCCAACTCCTACAGAAGATTGCATTTTTAAACGCACTTCTGAAAGGGAGATCATCAGAACCAGTCTGCATGAGTACAACTTAAACTCATTCACCAGCTTCTTATTATGGACAAACAAGATAATAGCCAACAAGAGATAAATTTAAGCATCAACGGTTAATTGTCATTGCCAATCATCATTCCCTGTGAGTTTTGAATCAAACAAGAATTTTATCAATATGGCAAAAGATTCAAAATTGCAGGAAATACATACTCTAACTAACATCTGATTGCAAGAGGACGAACATATCATTTCTGTGGTTCATTCTGCCATGTTAATCGTGAGCTATTAGTTCAGACCACTTTAACTTTCTTTTTTCCGCAATGTGTGGAGGGGGTTAATTTTTTATAACTCAGGTCTTATCAATAAGCAATAAATGTGGAGATTAAACAAGGGGAAAGAATAAAATAATTATTCCTTCCTATCTATGCTTACTACCTTTTTTTTTTTTTTCCTTTTTGAACAAGGTTTTCCTACAATTAAAAAAATGGTGTTTATCAATAGTCAGATCAAATTGCTGGCAACAAGGAGATCAACATTATGATAACAAGATAATATAAATGGATTGCATTAACTTAAGAATTTAAGTGTGAATTTAATCGTCATTAGCTGCAAGCCTGCAACTGAAAGGCATAGTAGTAGAATGAAAAGCAAAATAAGTTACCACAGAATGTGGCCCTATTCCTGTTGAAGGAAAAAAGAAATAGAATTTAAAGCCTAGGTACTTCTAAAATCATTCAGGCCTAAATTATCTTTCTCGATCTGATATTTTTGACATACATTTAGTTGACACGTCTCTTATAAAGTAGTACCACATTCTCCAAAAAAATTTACTCTTTATAGTTTCAAGAATCCTACCATGAGAAAGTTCTAAAAAATCATTCTTTGACTCGGGGCATATTCAAGAATAAATTATCCTTATGTTAAAGTTAATATTCTGTTTTCATTAGTATCTCCACAACATCAGAAACAAAAAAGAACTCCAGTGTGGTGATTAAAGGAATTACAAAACAAAATACAATACACAGACGCACTCTCTCACACACACACAAAGACTGATAGAGGGAAGCAAAAAGAAGCACCTGCCAAAGGTCGTGTAGTTACACGGACTCTCCATCCTGAACACCGTTAGGTAATATCAGTTTTCTCTTCCGTCCACCCTCCCATCTTAGAATATTCCTGTCATCATCCACCACATAATAACTGTACTCACATCCAAACTCATTTGGAACAGGCTTCAAAAAAAGGCCTTTCTTCACATTCCATGACCCAAGCACTGGTTCTGAACCGCAGACCAGAAGATGCTGCTCCCAGTGGGTATAATAAGGTAATTTAAAGCTCACAGTGTTACGACTCGTAAAATGGAAGCTTCACGTGGCACCATAATTCACCGGTAGGACCGATCTATTTGAGCCAGAGTGTACTTTCTTAGCCTTTCAAGTATATTCCGAGGCCCTTCATCCGAGGCCATCATTGCTA